CCTCCCCCCTCCCTTTTGTATGTTCCCAATCAACCAGAGCTTTTATCTCGACACACAGAGATCAATGCGTGTAGATCTGTGCGCTGGCCCTGCCACGACTTATTTCTTCGGGAAGTCGGGAAAAGACTAAGGGCGGGTCGTGAAATAACAGCAAGTACCTGAGCCGTGATAATACAGGTAGTTAAAATCTGTCTCGTCGGTGGGATTTAAATGGTATGGGTGTTTTCAAACGGGTGTTTAATTCATAATATGTGTATTGAAAAGAATTCGCAGACGTTGTTTTTTGTGGTGGCAAAGGTGAGTAACAGTCAGAGATACTTGTGCAGTCTTGTTACCTCTCCAGATTTGAGGGTACTTGAGGCGCTATATTTCCCTACTTGTGCAGTCAGTCTTGTTACCATTCTAGAGTTGAGGGTACTTGAGGCGCTATATTTCCCTACTTGTGCAGTCAGTCTTGTTACCATTCTAGAGTTGACGGTACTTGGGGCGTTTACAATTCCTTAACTAATTAATTAGAATCTATGTTTTCTGTTGCTAAGAATTTCAATGTTACTTTTTGGGTTTTTTATTTTTTAAAAACATTACAAAAGTCGCTAAGCTCTTGGAACTTAGGGCTGGGGTCACTAAACATATTATGTCAGAATGGACTAGATATTGAGAGAATGCCGGATAATGCGAGATAACAAACTGTGTTCAGTACAATACACTGAATAAGAACATTAATGCTGGAATGCTACGTCTTGTCCATATTCCAATATAACGCTGAGACCTGAACTTTTTAACAAAGAAAGAAGAAAACAAAATAGGTGCTTTTGAGATGTGGTGCTACAGCAAAATGACCAGAATTAGCTGGAAGCCAAAAACGAAAAACTGTGTGCGTCAGATTCTCCACAAAAGACAAACGCTGCTCAACATAAGTAGAAAAATACAATACTTTGGTCACATAAAACACCACCAGACCATTGTGGAAGAAAAAACACCACCAGACCATTGCGGAAGAGGTGCTTGAGGGAGATAACTATTGCTATACCAATACACACATATATAATACAAAACAAAAAAGACAAGACAATTATTGAAAATACAGTTACAATCACAAAAGCAAGCCCC